TGTCTGGGGATGGGGAGACACCCCTTATCAACAAGGGTGCCTGAACGAAACATATTTATATACCTAACCCTTAACTGTACCCCACAATACCAAAATAAAAAATATTGATTAATAAAAAATAATAAAATAAAATAAAATATAATAATAAAAAGAAATTTTGAAAAGGAGTAGACTATGAAGGCATAAGCTTCTTCAGGTTTATTTACAACATAAAATCATTTTTTGTAGATGATATAACTATATAGGTATTATAAAGTACAACTCTCCATGAGAAAAATAAGATCTAACTGTGTGACATATTTTTTGTTAGATTGTAATTTCATGTCAAACAACTGTCTGGTCAATTGTGTTCTTAAACACAGAAATACAGAATGAAAGTAGGGATCACAGGTATCTGCTTTTTAGAAAGTGTTAGCACCCATTGCAATCTGAATGCTAGAGTACAAATGGTATAAAGAATAAGTTAGTTTTGAATAAATTCATTCTACACTAGGTTCTACTCTTTTTAAATGAACTTAAACTCTAGTCCCTAGAGATTTTCAACCCACCCCCCCAGTCCTCATTTTTGCAGATCTCACTGTAGTCTCAAAGACGAATGCAGCTCCAGAGATGTTGCACAGTGTTGAGCAGATCCCACTCCTGACTGAACCACCCACCACCCAGGTCATGTTCTCATACCTGGAATCAGCCTTAAAGTATTCTCCAGGTACTCATCTTCTGTAATTAGGGCAAGGTCCAGCTTTAGCTCCAGGGTGAAATGCCGAACAATCCAGATAAAGTCGGGAAAGAAACTTACAAACTCTGTAGAATCTTCTACTCCATCAGGTCATGGAGAGGACTTTGCCTTAATTAATTCTGTGAGCTCTGTCACATAGCTATGACTTGGCTAAGGAAAATGAAATGCCTGCTCACAATTCACATATTTCTCTCATCAGGAATATTATAAACCGTCTCTGGGATCCCTTTGCTCAACTGAAGGCAACTAAATGGAAGGGAAGGAGGAAACTATTTGATCTCCATTCCCATCAACTCCATGAAACTTGGTGATTTGGTCCCTGGAAGGATACTGCAGCTGCTCCAGGGCCTGGTGGTTGATGGTGCTCATGCTGTTGTAGACAAAGGTGCTACTCAGAAGCACAGCCAGGGCAAAGATCCAGGAATCATTCTTGGAGTCACTCTTAAAAAGCACATTAGAGCAAAGGACCTAGGAGCTTATGCTTTAGAAATTCCCTGAGACTTACCAGTCTTTCGTGTATGATTTCAGCTAATGTATTCACTGTACAAAGAAGACAGATAAGAATGCAAATAACATTTTTGACAATTATAATAATATTTCTTATGATCACAATTTCTTGATATATAAAAGGATTCTAACTTTTAAAGAGTTTTATTTGACATGAGTGCCAAGAACACACAGTGGAGCAAGGATGATATCTTCAACAAATAATGCTGGAAAAACTGAATATGCACACACACAAGAGCGATATTTGACCCTCACTGCACACAAAAATCAACTCAGAATGGATTAAAGACTTAAAACCAGAAATTGGAGCCAGATGCCTAGGTACATATCCAAGGAAAATAGAATGAGGATGTTAAAGAGATATTTTTCCTCCCATGTTTTTTGCATCTTTACTCATAACAGCCAAGACATGGAGTCAACCTAAGTTGCCATCAGCAGATGAATACATTTTTTAAAATGTGGTATTTATACACAATGAAATACTCTTCAGCCTTTAAAAAAAATAAGGAAATTGGGTAGGTACAGTTGGTCACAAACACTTTAAAAGTCCTAGGCAGGAAGACTGCTTGAGTCCAGGAGTTTGAAAGCAGCCTTGGCAACAGATTCAGACCTCATCTCAACAACAAGTCAAAAACTAAGGGGGAATGGTGGTGCACAGCTACATGGGGGAATGAGGTGGGAGGATTGCCTGAGCCCAGAAGGTCGAGGCTGCAGTGAGCCATGATTGTGCCACTGCACTGCAGCCTGGACAACAGAGCAAGACCCCAACTCAAATAAATAGAAGATAGATAGATAGATAGATAGATAGATAGATAGATAGATAGATAGATAGATATAGATAGATAGAGGAAATCCTGTCATTTACAACAACTTAAATGAACCTGGAGGATATTAAGCTAAATTAAATAAACTAGGCATAGAAAGATAACTACTGCATAACTTCGCTATACAGATGGAATCTAAAAAAGTTAAACTCATAGTAGTACAGTGTAGAATGATGAATACCTGTGGTTGGGAGCTGAAGGGTAGGTATGGTAGGGGAAGGTTGGGAGATGTGGTGAAAGGATACAAAACTTTAGTTAAAAGAAAAGGGGAAAAAACATGAAACCATAACACTACCAGAATAAAATAGTGGAAAATCTTTTTGACATTGGTTTTGGCAATGACTTTTTTTGATATGACAAAAAAAAGCACAAATGACAAAAAGAAAATTAGGAAAGTGGGACTACATCAAACTAAAAATTTTCCGCGCATCAAAGAAAACAGCCAACACAGTGAAAATGCAACCTACAGAATAGGAGAAAAATATTTGCAAACCATAGATTTGATAAGGGGCTAATATTCAGAATACATAAAAGAGTCATATAACTCAATAACAAAAACCAAATAACTTGATTAAAAATGCGAAAAGGACTTAAATACACATTTTTCATAAGAAGATATACAAATGGCCAAGGAATATATAAAAGGTGCACAAAATAACTAATCAGCAAAGAAATGAAAATTAAGATAACAAGGATATATCACCTGGCACCTATTAAGATGACTATTACCAAAAATATATAACAATTTTTGGCAAGAATATAGAAAAAAGGAAACTTTGTTTGCTATTATTTGGAATGTAAATTGGTACAGCCACTGTGGAAAACAACATGGAGATTCCTCAAAAGTTAAACATAGAACTACCATATAATCTAGCAATCTCATTTCTTTGTGCAATTCCAAATGAAATGAAATTAGTATTTCAAACAGATATCTTATGTCCATAAATATATTTCAATTTAAATATATACATATTGGTCAGGTTTGGTGGCTCAGGCTATAATCCTAGCACTTTGGAAGGCCGAGGCAAGTGGATTGCTGAAGCCCGTGGACTCAAGACCAGCCCAAGCACCTTGGTGAGACCTCGTCTCTACAATAAATAAAAAAATAAGCTGGGCATTGTAGCACATGGCTGTAGTTCCAATTACTTGGAAGACTGAGGTGGAAGGATTGCTGGACCCCAGCAGGTTGATGCTACGGTGACTGAGTATGCATGCCACCATACTCCCAGCTTGGGCGGCAAAGTGAGACTCCAACCCCCCGCTCCCCCCCCCCAAAAAATATATACACACACACACGTATAAACCCACATATTAATTGTAGCATTATTCATAATAACCAAGATATGGGAGCTACCTAAATGTCGCTCAATGAATGAATGGAAAAAGAAAATATGGAGTACGTATATTCAATTTTTTAAAAGAAGAAAATGTTGCCACGTTCAACATGGATGAACATTTATGACAGTATGCTAAGTAAAATAAACCAGACAAATACTGCATCATTTCACTTATTTTTGGAATCTACAGTACACAAACAAATTGCCAAACTCATAGCAGCAGAGAATAGAATGGTGGTTACCAAGGACTTGAGAGTGGAAAAAAATGGAGAGATGTTGATTGTGAGAGTGATGTGAAGTGAGAACTCAAGATGGAGATAAGAAGGAATCCATGAATCAGAGCTACTGGAGGTCACTGATAACCATAACAAGAATATCTTGAGAGAATAGTGGGGTTCAAATTCAGAGAGGAGTGGATGGAAACATAAGAAGGAAAAAAGTCAAAAAAGGAAATTGGTAACATTTTTTGCATTGAAAAGTTATTCAACACATAAACAAATACGAAAACAAAACAGGAGTTGGTAGCCACAGTGAGATGTGAAATTTAGGAAGGATTTTTAAGATTATACATATTCAAACATCTTTGTATGTTGATGGGAATATTACATAAAGAAAGTAAAATAAGTTGTGAGAGAAAAGACACAATTACAGGAGCCCAGGGTTTGAGTATGCAAGAAAAGGTAAGATTCTGAGTACTAGTAAAAGAATTTTTTCTTAATGGGAGTAAAGGAAAGAATATGGGAACAGATAATAGTAAGGAAGTGATTTGGTGGGTAGAATTAGAATGAGAAAGCTGATTTGTTGAGAGGAGTTGGGTTCCCCAAGACACTGAGATATAGATGAAATCAAGCAATCGGCCCGTGCCTCAGGACACCACTCACCATGGTTCTGTCCTGCCAGAAGGTTCATCAGGTAGGATTTCCTTGTACGGTATAGTCCTACAATGGCCACTGCCACCACTGGTTGAGAAATCTTGTCAAGAATCTCTGTTGCTTGCTAGTTCACCAACAGCTGTTCATTTTTGTTTTCCACCAGACAAATGGGGGTCAACATTTTAGGTCCAGATGCTATGGCAACTTGCCCACCTAGAAGAGCCTCCCGGTTGAAATAAGATTACAAAGTTATTCTCTGCCTCAGTTATTCAAGCACCCATAAATTTAGGATGAAAAAGATTTCTTCTTTCAATGGATCAATATGTAGCCTAGTATTAGCAGGCCACAGAAGGCTTCTTCCATCATTTTGTCAGATCTGTAATGGTGCTAGTGATGAAACAAGGGTATTATCTTCTTCAAAATTGTACTTCAGTACTAGTAATAAAGTCCAGGCAAATTTTACCATTATAGGGATTTTCAATATGCCAAACTCTATGATGCATACCTCATAAGGGAGACCTCAAAATACCAGAATTACCTTTTGAAGGGTAAGCCCCTTCAGTATCAGTGTACCAGGCAGCATTGTTGTGAGAGCCTGAGTTTCAGAAGAAACGTCCTGAGTTGTGGCAAATAGGTGACTGGTTGTTCCACTAACACAACACACCTGCCCACACTGCATTGAGTGTTCAGCAGTTTTTGACCAAAGATGGCATGACCCCCATGCCTCATCCTCACTATTCACCTCATCTCACCCCGAGTGACATTTATTTTTGTTGTTTCCCCTGGATGAATGAATTCCTCATAAAGAAACATTTTGCAGATGGGGAAGAGGTGAAACAAATGGCAGAAGCACTAAAAAGTTGTCAAAATTGGTGAGTTCAAAAACTGTTTTGAGCAGTGGAAAACGCATCAAGGTGTTTTCATCTCCAGGGACCCCATTTCCTGCATGACTTACTCTTAAACTACTTCTATAAAGGCTTTTGCCCAAGGTTTTATAAGTAACATCTATTAGAAAACTTAAAAATGGTGTCTTAGATGTTTTTCAGGTTTACAGTCTGATGGATCTGAGGCCCCACCTGGACTCGGTCCACACACTAAGAAGCTAGCTTTGCCAATTCTGTGATGCCTCCTCCCAGAAACTGGTTTACACATAAAGACAGTTTCGACACCCCCCTCCATGACGTCATCTTCAACTAACAGCAGCACCTACTCCTTAGGTCCCTTCCAGTCAAATTATTCCTTAAAAAATCCTAACCTAAAATTCCTGAGGAAGCAGATTAAAGAAATCTCTCCCATGTTCCTCCATGTGCTGCTTTACAATATTAAACTCTTTCTCTACTGTAACACCTGTGTCAGTCTCAGTTGTTCTGAGCAGTGAGCATAAGTACCTGGCCAGGCTGTAACCACACCTACATCAAATTACTGGAAATGTAGAGTATCCTCTCTAAAGTGAACACTAAAGGAAGCTCTAGGAAGATGTGACCATTACTGCAAACAGCTTTATAATAACCAGGTCTTTGGTTTCTTAGCTAGTAACGAACCACAGAGCTTTTAACTTCAAATTAACACAGTATAGCTGTTTGATCCTGGTCAGGAGTGATTTTCAAACATTGACGCACACAAGAATCACCTGAAAGGATTGTTAAAGCACAGACTGTCAGATCAAAGTATCTGTATGTTTAACAAGTGCAACTGGTAACACTGCTGTTGCTGTGGGAAATAAAAAACACCACACACACACACACACACACACACAGAGAGAGAGAGAGAGAGAGAGAGAGTTTTGACCATATAGTTACTTTTAACTAACAAATATCAGTGCTGTAGGGACTAAATTTATTTCT